TAAGTGTTAACCCTTTTTTGAGAAATCATGCTCAAGTATATGAACCCAAATTGCATATTAAATAAGTTTACAAGAACCACTAAAATTAATCTTAATCTTTTTTTAAGAAATTTTACTTACCTAAATACATGTAGGTACTTAGTTTTAGACCAAATTACTTCCCAAAAATGGCCTTTTATTATTATCTATGTCTGTAATTTTTAATTTACTTTAATTATTAAGTTTAATAATCCTAAGATTTGCCTACGCCCATGGACGACAACGAAATTCAGGCAAATTTTATGACACTTCATGATTTATTACTCTACACTCTTTTGAAATAGACTATAACAATAAACTTCACAGAAAAAGCAATATTACACAACTTCAGTTTGAAAATGTGCGGACATATAGCGCCTTTTGACGCCACTAAATCCTGACATATTATTGGCGCATGTAGCTTTCTGCTGATGAAGGTCTGTTCAGAAAATGAGGTGAATTATCATCAATTTCTATTCTGTCTTCTTCAAAGTAGTCCTTTTTAGATATTATACAATTGTGTCAGCGTTTTCTCCAATCCTTTAAGCAGTTCTGATATGCACTTTTTGATATATCCTTGAACTTTCTCAGCGATTCGATTTCTATCATCTCAATCGTAGCAAAACGCCGTCCTTTCATAGATCTCTTCAATAATGGGAACAGCAAGAAGTCGCAGGTGGGCAAATCTACTAGATACGGTGGCTGCGGCATGATTACGGTGGTGTTTCGGTCCAAATTATCATGAACAAGTGACATTTGACATTTGATCGAACTCTGCTTAGTTTTTTTTGGTCTTGGCTCCCCTAGTCTCTGTAATAGAAACGATTGGACTTAGGTTGAGTGGACAATTCCATCATTTGTTGTGTGAATAATCATGTCTGTGGAGGAAGAAAATGAAGCTGAAAATATTTCACTAGATATCCGTACACAGAATTCCAATACTACATGTGTACTACTCAAAAATTCACAAGGAAATAAGAAATTCTCGAAAAAAATCACAGTTTTCTCCAAATTCATAATCTTCCTCATTTACGAGTTTAATTTAGCTCGACCCATATTTGAATTGTTATGACTTTGCAGCAAAATCCTTCCTCAGAATTCTGCCCCGACATTAATATGAACCGCTTCTCCCAGCCCTACAAACGATATCTCTCCATTCGCGGTTCACCCTTCATTTTCCCTCAAAACATCGGAAAGTATCACCGAAAACGCCCTAAACATCCCTCAGAGTCCTCGAGCACGTTTTCCATCTGAAAAAAGTATAGAATCAGATTTCAAGGAATCTGTGCCTGGGGTGAAACATAATTTGACGAGGAAATTTTTCTGTGAATATTTCATTCATATCCGAATTAGAATTACAAATACAGTCTTTCGAAGCTAGCGGCACCACAAAATCGAATCATCCGGGAGTTTATTAAATGAGCACCTGTTTTTTGCGCTCCTGCATGTTTTCCAAACAAAAAAATCCAATGTAAATTCCCGGTACGGGCCCTCCGCTTTCTAATGAAAATTCCAACGACAAATGCAGATGCGAAAAGAGTTACAAAGGGAATTCGATATTAATTATGGGGTTGTTATTCCGGAAGGCGAGGGATTTGTTTTGGAATTCATTAACGGCATTTCTAATGATGCATTCTGATTTATTAAAGATCATTTGGAATACGAAGAAGTGGTAGATTGAAAAATTCTGGTATTTACCTTTGGGAGACGAACGAAATATTATGAATAACAAACACAATTGATTTCGTCTCATTCCTCATGTTCTGTTTTATGACTTATTCTATTTGATATTGACCTCAAGTACTGTCAATGAGATCAATTCGTCAGTTTTGACATAGAAAGCCCGTATCTAATGTGCGGATTTGGAAATCAGAACTACATTACTAATAAGACGAGCCATATACTTTTTGTATCTGGAATAGCAAATGTCAGCAAATCTATCTTCTTCAGACAAGAAGATGGATTTGTTGTGAGACTGATCATCATAACATAACATAACATGGGATGATGTGAAGTGAAGAACATCATACTAGTTTTATTATCGACTTTCTTTTGGTATTTCCACCTTTCACAGCCAGAAAAATATGAATTGGGCAAAATTTGAATCACAGGCAAGTTCTCTTCTCTGATTTCTTCATTTCTCATCATCCTCGCATATAAAGTTCTCAGATTATGGAAGGTGGGAAAACCGATTTTCCCTCCTCAGAAAATGACTTCAGTTCAGTATCATACTAGTATAGATGCCCATAATATATTTGAGAAACGTTGTTTACATGTTCATAGTATGGCATCTGTAGGTATACAACAAGAAATGATTCTGTAACACACCAGAAGCGTGAGGTCTTACACATAACTGACACTAAGTGGGAAACATCTGTATACCGAAATCATACTCATACGGAACAGTATCTGAATCACTAATCCAACCACCAAGAAAAATGATAGAAACTCTAGTGGATTGTGCTTTTGGGCTCTGTAAACGAAGGAAGGTCTCGAGAAGGAACTAGCCTTATTGGAAAAACCAGGAGTCCAATATATTTACTATCAGCAGGAAGTTGAATATTATAATGAGAATCTAGGAGTAATTTCGAATCGAGGTAAAATTAAGCAGGTTCAATTCAATATGACAAAAACTCCTGCATCGGTTTTCTCCTCAAAAATAAATGTTTCCGAACCGGATATAATATTGTCAGGTCAGACAATTCCGCTTTCTGCTTCGATAAGTTTGTTGAGGGTTGATATGGACATCAATGTCTTGGCACAATCATGTCGCTGGAATTGCAAGGGCTGCTTCACAAAAGCTTGGAACACTGTACTGAACCAGAAAACTGGACACATTTCAGCAACTTTTGGTGCTTTATAAAGCTCAGCTCTGACCTTCAATTGAGTATTGTTCTCATGTATGGATCTCCTTCCCTAAACATACCCTGAAGCTGCTGGATTCCATCGAGAAAAGAGCCATCCGCGCTTGATTGGAGACGCGAACACCAGTTGCAGCCTTGATAGTCTGGAACATCGAAGAAAGGTTGGAGATTTGTCTCTCTCATATAGATACATTCATGGGAAGTGTTCAGTGGTGGCTGCTCATCTTTTTGAGGTTCAACTCAGTACACCTCGAACTTCACTGTTCAAGAACTCTTTCATTTGGTGAACTTGCGTTACTGCGGAATGAACTTCCAAATGAATTTAATCTCCAGCGATTCAAATCCAATGTGGAGTCCGCTTTGCTGAGCACAAGAGAAACACACAGCTAGGTGTGGGGATTACTAGAACTTGTCGATAGGAAAAAGCTTACGTGATGAGGTTGACAACGTACACTCCAGTCGTGTGGTGAATCGAAACTACTGTGCTGGTATACAAGTGAATCATCTGTGGTTCCAGATGATCATGACAGTGTATTTCCAAAAATAGGGTACATCTCATCCTACCGACTGCGCCAGTTGAGTGAGATACTTCTTTGGAAAGCTTTCATTCAGATATTGATGAAGTAGACACAGTAAACAAAATTATTGTGACTCTATCTCTGTGCGTAGTTCAGTCTGACCAAAACGAATCATCTTCTCCATCTTCTCTGAAATTATTGTTTCGAATAATAATGAAGTTCAGTGGTGAAGCTACTCGTATATCAGTTCAACAATCTCACCTAAGAACAGTATGATTTATACCCGACACTTGACACTTGATAACGCTAGTGTGTTTCATCACTAGACGGCAACACAATTTTTCAAACTGCAGTTGAAAACTACTCCCATTCGTGTATAAGACCCATTAGATTTCGCGGAGTTCAATAAAAGAAAGCGCTATATAAATCCGCCCAAGTCGTCCCGAGCCCCAAACCAAATGAAGTTCCGAGTTGCTGAATAAAGTAAGTTCATAACTATTGTCGTTCTACTAAACTCCCCGTTGTTAGAGTCCATGAAAACTTTCGGTAATGATTTCAGTTTAATAACGGCGAAATTTCGCACTGAAATAATCCACCGAAACAAACAATGTGTTTCAGCTTGTGCTCTCATAACGATTCGTTTCTACAAAGTGCTTCAGATGAATCCTCAGAGATTACAACTGGCGTGGTTTAAAAGTTGATACATTGTTGTGGTTACAGTTTACTTGGTTTACGGCTTATATCAACAAATATTTATAATACAGTGTTATAGGAATTGGATACATTTCTTCACGAATAGTATTTTTATCCTGAACCTTGAACAAATCAAGTTTTTTTTTTGAAAAAAACACAAGCAGCTGTCGTGAAAGTATCTATAGAAGAGGGACAAATTTCCAACCTTTCTTCGATGTTCCAGGCTATCAAGGTCGCACGTGGTGTTCGCGTCTCCAATCAAGCAGATGGCAGTTTTCTGCTAAAATGTGTACAGTTTTCTAGTTCAGAACAGTGAGTTTTTGTGAAGCAGTCTTTGCAATTCCAGTGACATGATTGTGCCAAGACAAATTGGTGTCCATTTTAACCCTCAACAAACTTATTGAAGCAGATAGTGGAGTTGTCTGTTCTGATATTATTATATCCGGTTCGGAGATATTCACCTCCTTGGAGAAAACAATGACTTGAAAAGTGGCAAAACCTTCCTTTCTTAAAAATCAATCCTTTCTGACAATATACCCCTTTCAATTCAAACTACCCTTCTAGAAACACTGGATCACACACATTTCAAACAAAATGTTCTACAATGTTCAAAATCGAAAATTTTCAACGTGCCATTTTTAATGATTTTATCAAAGTAATCTCATAGGATGAATTCTGCTATTAATTATGATGAAGATCACCTTTGTTTTATGTAAGTTCACTGGGTCAATGGGACATTTAATAATGATGTCACAAGGATTTCTAGGATCAGAACTACCCAAATTCCAATAATTTTGGGGATTTTACCATTCATAACTTACAGGCAATGAGAGTGGAATCTTTGAAAAACAACAAATTCACAAACTATTCGAACTCTTATACTTTTTTCCTATGGAAATGAAACACATTTTTCGACCACAACTTTTTATTGAGATCATTTTTACTGCAAATTCTACAAACTACTGAAAACGAAACTTATGCTAAGAATGTCCTTGAACATAGCGGGATCAAAAATCATTGGATCAGGCCGGTAGGGTGGCTGCCTATTTGGCAGCGAATTATAAATAATAATAATGAAAACTCTACGAACTACTGAAAACGAAACTTATGCTAAGAATGTCCATGAACATAGCAGGGTCTGAAAACTCTCAGCCAGGCCGGCAGTGATAGATTCAACATTGGATTTCGCGCCCCATGTGGCAGCAAATGGGGGTTGGAGATGATACTCCAGTGTAGGTCCATTGGGAGTCTACATCACACAGCTTTGATTGAAGGTATACCTGAAAATTCAGAAAATATTTTTATTGATTATAATCGGCCTGACGAAAATATTCATCAGAAATACAAGAGAAATAGCATTTTGGTATTTTTTCAATCTCTCAAGGGTATTCTGATAACATCAACTATTTTATGTTTGGTCATGAACCATTTCATACTATTAAATTTTTAAGAAATACACATTTCGAGAGAAACAGTCAAGTTGTTCAGCCTATTGGGCAAATAAGTACCATTCTGTCCACTCCCATATTGATTTCTATTTGAAAGCTACCGGTCGACCGGTATTTCACACTATTGGACATTGTCAGTACCGGACAGGAGGTCCTAGATTGAAGACAAAATATGAATAACCGAGATAGGCACTTAATAAAAATAACTGCGTAAACGCACGCGAGACATAAGTGGAACCACCTATTGGTGTGACACCTGAGTAAACTTATAGCCAAGTTATTTCTATCAAGTACCTATCTTGGTTATTCACATTTGTCTCCAATCAAGAACCGCCAGCGCGGTACTGACGATGCCCAAAAGGCTGAAACAGCTGTCTACCGGTGGCTCTTAAATTGAAATCAATATGGGAGTAATCAGAATAGTACTTATCTATTTATCTTTTGATTTTCATGGAATCATTGTCCAGCAGCTTGACTGCATTAACTGCATGATAATTTCTAAAATTATGTGAATTCGTTTTTCGATGGTATTTAGCTTCCCAAATTTCTGCTACAGCAGTTGACGGTTGATTGGTTAAACCACCAACACTGACATGAAAACTTGGCTTTCTATACGAATTTTAACTCTTTTTCTGCAATACCAGATACGATTACCTATACTGATGAAAATAAAAAGTCAAATATGTGCTACACATGGTTTTATATTGGTGTTGGGCATTGAATAGTAGAAGAGAGTCAGTGAATATATTATTGATGAAAAACCTGAAATGGAGTTTCCAAGATTTCACTTCAGCTCCAAAAACAAAGTGGTGAAAAATCATTAATTCAATTTTTGTAGTCACTTCGATGACAAATTGAATCGATGAAGGAAACTGGTAATGAAATGTAATGAACCAAACGTAACATTGGAAATTAGTCTTTATCAGACTATGATAAATATGAAACAGTTTGGAAAGTTCCGCTGCATTTTTTGGTTTTATCTGAAATGGAGGCGGTAGAGCCAAAAAACCAAATTCTATTATTCTATCATTTGGCGAATATTTCCAAAACAATCATTGATATTCCCTATCTGAAAGAAGATTATTATAGTTTCCCAAAATGGAAACTTTTGTCCAATTTAATTTGCTAACTGAAAGGCCTGTATGAATAGTCTTTCATAAACTACTTACTACATGGGCTCGAAAGTATCGGGCCTAACACATAGATGGTGCCTTCACCGATTTTTCAGTTTCGATGAACATTCAATGGAAAAATTTGTTTATTTTAATGAGATCCACCACATATTTGGTTTTTGTAATGTTTTCAGCAACTTCACTTAGCGACTTAAGAGCTAAGTGATATGCATCGATACATAATAGTTATTTATGTATCAAGGGAATTAGGAGGGCCTTAATTACTGATGGCAAAGTTTGCGTCCCGAGGGCCTCTGGCCCGAGGGACAGCAATTGCCTGAGGTTATTAAGGCTCATTAATTCCCGTGGTACATAGATAATTTTATTTCTGACCGATTTCAATAAAATTTTGTTCATTTTTGAAACGGAAAAATGTACCAATTCATTACCTTCCCGGTATATTTGAATCAGGTACCGTTGATTATAGTAGAGTTTTCTTGTTGCTAGGTT